CCATAACACTTGTTTAAGCATAATACTTGTTTAATGATTGTTTAAGTAGAGTTCCCCTTAATACAGTGAAAAGTACCTTCATAACATTCAAATATTTGACTAAACATTTTTCATTGTGATCTTTGCATATTGATGACCATTATACCTGTGTTTTCTTGTCACCAATCATGTCAAAGGGTCAGTGACACAAAAACGTAACTCCATTTTGGCAATTTTGAGAAAAAGTGGTTTATGTGTCACTGAGCACTTGGGCCTTAAAGAGGAGTTGAGTCTATGTTTCACTAGCCATTGACTTCAATGGGGTGTTGGTTGCGTTAAGTCTTTGTGTTTCCTGGGAAGCCCACATTTTTCTAAACATTTTGATATCAAATACTCATTTTGGCAAAATATGGAGTTACGTCTTTGTGTCACTGTACCCTCATGTATAAATATACAAATACTTCGCTGTGACCATGATACATGTATCGACCCTCCATACAAACTATTACCTGCGCTGACAGCATAGTACTCATAGCACACATAAAGCACTATGAAATAGACAAATATATATATACAATTTGGGTTATCTAAAACTTCTATAAAGCTAGTACATGATTGTAAGAACTGATGATAATATAAATATATAGATACTACCTACTTGTGAGTACTGTGCTATTTTTTTGTATACATTGATTCTATGGTATTGTTCATACTATTTGATATATAAAAAATTGTCCAACTACCCTTATATATACCACTATGCTACCAAGTACATCATGCAAGTTTTCTAAAACTTCTTTTATACTTTAAAGTACATCAAATTACACAATCAATATCTACATGAATGATTTATAGTGCATTTACATTTGTAGTTGTATATTACATGCATATATTATAGACTGAAAGCCACTAAGTATTCAAATGGGCAAATTCTCTTGCTTTCACAATAAGTACATTTTAAGGTTCACTAAAATATGCAGTGGTGTATGTGCCCCCTCCCCCATCAGAAAGCATAAAAAGACACCCCACCCTCATCACAAAGCATAAAAAGACCCCCCCCCCCAACAACAAAAAAAAAGGGGGAGGGGGAACAACATGAAAAGTAGACTATAAGACCCCTTCCCCCACACCTAGTGCAGAAAATAGAAGGTGTTATTTCATGTTGCGATCTCTCCCATCCCCTACCTGCTACAAGCCATATATGGCGTGATCCACGAATCCGTACGCATGGATGGATGGTATGCCATGCCTTAACACTTTTTTGCTGGGCGAGGAAATTCGGGATCACGTCATCTTCTGCATCTTCATTGAATCAGCCAGGGTAGGGTCTCACGAAACCGTCGTAAGTACAAGTTTACAGACATGATCACATCCTATTGAAACGTGTGTTAAACTTAATACACGCATTTCAATGGGATGTCGTTGGACTTGTACTTATGACAGTTCAGTGAGACGCTGCCCAGATTCTGGACTACCCCACACCCTGCTCATAATTGGTGACCTTGACAAATTGCATTTTATCCACCCATAGTAAGAATGGCAACCCCCACCCCCCCCCCCTCCCTCCCTCCATGATATCAGTGCCCTTATGCCTGTACACACGCTAAACCCCTGATAAATGTAGGAACAGTTTGAGGACACAATGACTGACAATCAAAATGCATTCATACTTCATTTTTAACAAACAAAACAAAATAAACCCATAACATCTTCCCAATGTCATTTTGTTCTCAATTAGATTACATATTAGCAGCATTTGAAAGAATTGAAGACTGTCATGACACTTTGTTACACACAATTCAAAATATTTGCTTCAAGTTTTTTAACCAAATATCCATTATGTAATCGTACTCAGCAATATCATCAGCCTGTATTTTGGACACTTGTTAGTATATTCCGAAAAGTATTCTTCTAAAGATTGCATTATTATAAAGGATGAAATTTGCTCTATTTCACACATTTTCATGGTAGAAAAAAAAGAAAAAAGAAAAAAAACATAGAATATCTAATGCGATGTCCCATTATTGTACAAGTACATACAGATAAAATATCTCAATAATTTTGTAATATAGTAGTCACGCCTAAGTAAAATCTTGTAATGTAATAATGGAAAGACATCTAAATGAAATACAATATCAGTTCATAAACACATATAAGTACCTGGAATTTGTCACTTATTGCATATATCATCATATATATATATATATATATATATATATATATATATATATCGAATATTGTATACAATATGATTATGAGATGTATTAAAAATGAATATTAATGGCAGTATGTACAATGTGAGTCACTATGCTCAAAAGATAAGAAACCAGGTAAGCATACAAATAAAAGGTGCATTTTTATGTATAAAATAATGAGATTTACATGTATGTACAATGATCAATAAAAAAAGAAGAACAAAAATTGGCAATATGTAAGTATGAAAAAGAGAGTTAAAAGCCTCCAACTTATTGCTCATCAACAAACTATTAAAGACACATCTCTGCATTTCTTGATGAGACATTTACATCTCAAATTCACATTATGAGACAAGGACCTTTGACCCAAGCAAGAACCATCATACATGTAGGTCATAGTTCACTAGATGACATCCCATTGAAACCCATGTTCTGAAATCAGTGTAAATTTGGATTGGATGTCCGCATATTCTGACTTCAGAATAATTTATTGCAATAAGCCATTTTTTGTAATGTATTCAAATTTAATGAATAAATCTTTCTTAAGTGCTTCATTTCAAGTTATTTCATTCACCCATTAATAATAATTGTATTTCGATGCTCAGAATTTGCAAATTGCATACATTATTCAGTGTTGCTAGGTAGGACAAACATTATGGCTTGTCCTGCCTAACAACACAGAATGTATGAAATTCACATTCTGCCTAATTAACTATAATTATATGTTACAGGTGAATGACATAATTTGTAACGAGGCACTTAACATAGATTTGTGCCTTTCATTTTATTACATTACGAAAAATGGCCTATTTGAGGGCCCCTCCTTCCAAATCATTGTGTGTTCAACCCTTTACCGGCTTACGTAAACTAATGCAACAAACAGTAGTTTGCCACTGTCAACCTTTGTCACACATACAGTGTTTACATTGTATGTATTACATACTCCAAACAAGGTGGCAGTCTAAGGTTTTGACCCATAGCAAATGAAGAGTTAAAAAAGAAAAAACTTCTTTGAAATGTATGAGCCATGCATATTTGATAATACTCGAATCATGTAAGTACTGCATTTTGTATAGTCCAAATCAGAAATGCAAAAAGCTATAAATGTAAATGTCAATTCCATTAGCGATACTCATTATACAGGCAGTTATCACAAAGCATGTTCAATAATTGTTTCATCTTTATGCATAATGTGTACTAAATGACTCCATAATCAAATATACTTAGACAAAAATAAATTGCTGCAAATGCTGCACTTTAGGTATAAATCTACACTAAATCTGGACATCATTTGAGGAAACCATACAAGTTTGCCGACATCCTATTAACAAGCATATTCATTTTAAAGGGGCTGTTGCATGACGAGACTATGTTTCTTTCCCTTGGCCTAACTTGGGGCCAGTCGGGTATAATATGACTACGGATGACCCGACCGCAGTAGGCCTACGCATTCATGTGCATGCAACATATGCGAAACCAGTTAACCAAGTCCATTCGTTTACGTGCAGTTGTCCAAAAGAGACGTAGATGGCATCAACCAGTATTTCCAATGCTACAGCCCCTTTAATTCAAGCGTTTCAATGTGATATCAGTGAATTTTAAGACAGTTTTGTGACACATAGCTCAGGGCCATGTCTTATAAAGAGTTGCGATTGGCAAGTCCTCCAATCAATCGCAATTTTGTAGTCACCTTTCTCTTATGAACATAGTTGCGATTGATATGTAGTGGTGTTTATTTTACCTGACTGCTAAGAAAGCATAAATGCTTGTTAGTATTAAGCAACCAGGGGACTGACGGCTGTGGGTCCTCTCCGAGGGACCTGGTAATGAAGATTAATGGCTTACCAAAGGGCACGAGCGCATCGCCATGGTGTCAAACCCGGGTCGCCGGATTACGAGACCACTGCCATACCAACTGAGCTATCCCGCCTCCTCAACTCTTTGTAAGACGGGGCCTTGATGCACTATTGTAATATGTGACACCATGTTAACTGAATGCTACGATAAAACTCTGCCTGAATACTTCAACGCAGTGAAATTCAGTAAGTACATGCATATCTCTCTTCAAATAAATCAATATCGCTTATATTTTTTGCACATGATCTGGCAGTTTGATCTTAAGCAGTGAAAACTATAATGACCACAATATGAAATTATGAGGCAAACATATATCATACTAAAATCAGCCTCATACATTCACACAAATGGAAGAACAATAATATAACTTCAACTGATAGGATTAAATAAAACCTTTTAAAGTTTGATATTTTGATATTTTGATAGAAATCAACATCTTTACTTCTGACATAATTTGTATGTTTTTATGTAGAAAAGAATACCCTGTTTGTTTGGAGTTGAGATACTAAAAAATATGATAAGTATCTGTAACATGTTGGTCTCTATATTATCAATAAGTCATATATCACAAGTTGCGAAGCTGTAGTGGCCTTCATCATACATGTATATCCTTTTTTCCGATCAAACACCAGTTAAAAATATTATTTTGGTTTACCAATCTATTCATTATGCAAAAGCATTTTTTTATATCAAGAATTACCATTGCTTTACAACAGAAAATAATTTCTTGATATCAAGAAATAGGAATAAATGTTAAAACGGCTCGTCATAAATACTCAGCAATACGCAAGTCAAATACGCAAAGGTGTGACTGAGGCATAAGGGACCATAATTAGGAAGATTTCACATTTTCAAATTGTACATCAAATGGTACTGCTTATATTGGACCGTTAAATTGAGCACTAAGCATTCCTACACGATTAGACGGCAGAAAATGTAATAAACGTTGATTAAATTGAGATCTTAATATCAAAGCTCCCAAACCTGTGTGATCTTGGCGTCCCTGACTTTTGAGAGTGGTGCACTCTGGGAATGTGACGGAGGGCTTGGAAGAGGGCGCTCTGGGAGCGGTCTATCACTCAGAGGATCCGCGATCATCTTGACAGGAGAGCCTATCTCCGACGGCGAGAGGTAACCCTGCTCATCCAGCTCCGGTCCTTCCGAAGACTCGCCAGGGGACTGGGAACCCAACGCAAGGGGGTTGGTGATCATACCAGTAGAGTTTGATTGCTCGTTCAACATAGACTGAACAGACATGGCAGATCCTGCCGACACTGTTCGCTGTCTCTTTCCCGCTGCCCCTCCTTTCTCCTTTGCCTGTTTGATCTTCGCATCGACGGCACCATCGAGCGGTAGATCACTCAGCTGACCTTGTGATCTTCTGGAGTAGGACTTTGTCTTGTCCGTTGTAGAGATGCCTTTGACGTCTATTTTGGCAAAACTTGGCAAAACTTTGGGTTTTCCTGGACTCTCCCCGCCACCTTCCTCATCCTGGCTCCGACTCTTCTGCCTCATCATCTTCAGTCCCAAACCAAACTTCCTGCGTACCCCTGTCACAGGGGACTGTTTGATGTCTGCACCTTTCTTTGGCGAGATGAAATGTTGTGCGACCTCAGGAGTTGAAGAGGGTTGCTCCGACAGCAGGTTTGGATTCGATTTAGATTTCTTCATCTTCTTTGGACGCCCTAGACTATTAGTTACCTTTGTATTGTCCATGTCTTCGAGTGCCACTGATCTTCGCTCAGGAGATTTTGGGGTTACGGAAAGGTCCACAAGGGATTTTGCTTTTTTCATCTTGACTCGCTCTAGTGTCCTGGCTTTGAATGATTTCCGTTTCTCCTTTGGTTCCGCTTCTGGAGCTGGAACCGATGCTACAACCTGTGCGTACATCACGCCCGGTTCAACGATGGCCGAGTGTGCCAAATTGGCAGATTCTTGTGTGACTATCCTTGCAGTATTGGGTTGAAAACTGTCTGTCTGTGATCGAACAAGATTAGAGTCTACATATCCCTCTGAAAACGTGCTTTGCCGCATGACATGATTTTGTACATTGATTTCTTCTGCCGATGTATTACTGACAGATTCATATTCCGTTTGTTGGGCACCCTGCGCAGGAGTGGGTGGGAAGATATTGTTCACGTCTTCGTAGGCATACCTACCCTTCTTGGGGGACACAACGTATGGGTTTTCTTCAGTTGGTGGAACTTCATCGCGAGGTAGAGATGGTAATTGTCTTTCGTTCATCCAGTTTGGCATGTTTGCAGGTGAGAAAGAAAAGGCGAGGTCCAGAGACCCAAGGTTAGGTGATCTGTCGATGTAAGAGTCTGTTATCGACGTTGGGCTGCGAAGGTTACCGAGGGAGAAAGAGCGCGACAGGGAACCCTCCGGACCGACACCCTCGTAGTCTACTCCTTGATAATGGTGCTCCCTCTCTCCAGAGGAGCCCTTGCTACCTGTGAACTCTCCTTCAAAGTAGGTGTGTACCAGAGGGCTTGGAGGATCGGATCCACTCCCTCCTGCAGCACCTCGAGTCGATTCCACCATGTGATACTCATGATCCTGTATCGTCATCTCCGTCATCGCCCTTTGCATCGGGGAATTCACAAACCCTCCATTGGACATCCCTCTCGCCCTTGGACTGGGACTGATGAGGGGGGTGTTCTCATAGCTCTGCGTGAGCGTGTTACGGTACGACTGGGGTGTGAAATCCATTAACTGGTAACTCGATCTGTCACTGGCCGCGGTGCTATTCGTCAGAGTTCGGGGAATGGGTACATCCCAGGTCATCCGGTCCTTGCTGTCACGACCCAACCCTTGCCTGGTGAGTGTGTTGACTGATGCAGAACCCATCTCGGTGTACGGCAGGTTCTCATCCTCCACTGTTCTTCCTCCCATGTCTGCATACGGGAGGTTGTATTCTGGTTCCATGGCCAGAGACGAGGATGCGCTGGGAGGGCGGGATGTCTTCGGGGGTAGGGACGGGGTACGAGATGGTACCGGTGGCGCCGCCTGAGTTCTCTTCACTTTGTCACTCTTGGTCCTGTCAAGTCTTTTGTTGGAACCTAAAAAGTTTGAAGCAATACAAAAATAAAGGCTTTATGAATCTCTCTTCGAACAGATACAGATCTTTGAGCAGAGTAAAAAGAAGTACATTCCAAACACATCTGCTTTTATTCTACTAATTTATTAATCAATTTTTTATAACCTATTTCAAACTACCAGGCCAATGGTAAATGGATTGTATTTGGGTTAACATTATATTATTGCTGGCACAACAAAAGCTTTATTGACTCTTTTCGTCTTGCACTCATCATGGAAAACTGCAAGAGTTAACAAAATCCAATATTCAAAATGATGTCTCTATTCATTGCAATTTTTAAAAAATTGTTTAAAATGGTACCAATCATCTCTTCAAAATTCCTTGATGAAATTGGCACTAACCTACATGAATTTTACAATATTCCTATTCATACTATGAAAATGTCAATTTCATATAAATGTAATATGAAAATACTGTATATAAATTGTATCTGTAACTATTAGCGATGCTATAAGTTAATTGCTGGAAGTACTTCAGGGGGTGATTCATTTAGATTTTAAGTTAAACTTAACTTGAAGTTGGACTTAAAAATTATGGAGAGCCATTTGTAGCCTTAAAATGAAATATATTCAAAAGCAAAAATTCGAATATTTTAGACTTTTCATGAATTCCACATCAAGAACATGAAATCTCACATGATAATAGAAAATATGAATGATTTGAATCAATATTTTATGCCTTTTAAAATATCTTTTACAAATATGTAAGATGCTAACAGCTTTCCATAATTGTGAAGTCCAACTTAGAGATAAGTTCAACTTTGGATCTTTGTGAAACACCCCCCTGGGGGTACAAGAACCGCCAGAAGAAGCCAGTAGAAGCTGGCGGAACATCACAGAGCAAATCTTGAGTACTTCCAGTAATTGATTTACAAAAATTGCTAATAATTTCAGTGTTAGTGGATGAATCAATATAATCTTCATGAAACTGTATCTGCAACATGATAGAAATTTGAAGCTCACCATCTCTTGATCGGTCCAGCCGATCATAGTTCTTGGGTCGTCCAGGGACAGGGACGGCCTGGCTGTGCTGGGTGTGGTTAGGGGAGATCGGTCGACCTTCATGGAGAAACATTTGATGTAATGTAATAGTTATTTGATATTTCAACTTATGTTACATATTTATGTATTCGTTACTGCTATTTTATTATGTATACTTTATTTAAATTCTATATTGTACCCAAGACAGGTGTCAGTCTTCAGACTGTTTGTTCTTGGTTTTTGATGTGATTTGATTTAAATAAATCCTATATATATATATATTAATGATATTATACTGAAGTAATTATGTAGGGCACCTGGGGGAATGATGGCACTTGAAAGAAAAAAATAATCTGAAAGGCACTGAATGAAACAAGAGTCAAAGGGTGGTATTCTCGAAAGTGGACTAACTTTAGCCCATGGTTTAATCCTCCGACTAGGTACGGAATGCCAAGTTTCCATATGAATATGTTTTTGAATAATTAATCTGTCACTAAATTAAAATAAATTGTAATAGCGTAATTAATAAACAACAATATAACTATGACATAATTATGTTATCATAGTAATTTAGGGACATATCAAATTATTCAAAAATATATTCATATATGGACACTTGGCATTCTATACTTAGTCAGAGGATTAAACCATGGACTAAAGTTAGTTTGCTTTCGAAGATACCACCTAACATCATTACTGGCTTTAACTGTTTGTAAAAAAACACACAGTGGAATAGAAAGAATTATCTGGGAAGTGAACATGAATATTGTCATGCAAGAGCCAAAGTCCAACAAACTACATTATGTATTGCAGTTTGCAAGGAGAGTGGGCCAGGTGGTATTCAGAGCGAAAGAGAGAGAGAGAGGGGGGGGGGGGGGGGTGAGGGTGAGAGAAAAAGAGAGAAAGGAAGAGACAGAGAGACAGAGAGAGAAAGAAAGAGAGAGAAAGAGAAGATATAGATAGAGACAGAGAGAGAGAGAGAGAGAGAGAGAGAGAAAGAGAAGATATAGATAGAGAGAGAGAGAGAGAGAGAGAGCTAGAGAAGCAGATAGAGAGAAATAGAGAAAGAGAGAGAGAGAGAGAGAAAAAAAAAGAGGGAGAGAGAGAGAAAAGAGAGAGAGAGAGAGAGAGAGAGAGAGGGGGGGGGGGGAGGGGTAGAGAACAAAGCTTATAATCTCCATATCTTCAATAAACATCGATCAGATAACATTCATTTGAACTTTCACTTTTTTTCCAAAGCAGCCGATTCAGCTCTTCAATTAAATATACCAACCAAACAATGATAGGGGCCATCCAAAAGATATGGACCATTTGGGAACAAAGGAAATCCGATGTATTCTGTTGGTGTTATCAAAAGGGGTGGCAAACTTTGATCGTCAACCCAACCAATAAAATGACTAAATGTTTTGATTCCAGATGACCCATAACCTCCAATACTGCATATGTACAATTTCAATTGTCAAGTCACACAATTATAAACATAGCTTCTTTACATGTATAGGTGATTTCACTAAAAACAATGAATGTTAGTTTCTATTTCTGTGGGAGAGATAGAGATCTACTGCAACCAGGAAAGATATCAGGAAGTCTTAGGTAGTCTTTCCTGAGCATTGAGGGATGTTCTCAGCCTAGCTGTTTGATAAGATCTGACTACCATTAAAAGAATTGTGTAAATGACTTCCAAAGAGTTGGCTAAAGGCATCGTTTAACAATGTTAAATCTGAGATGCACATCTGATCAAGAAGTGCCTCAAAAAAGTAAAAATCTTTGAGTGACCGGTTTTTACTAAACTTGTTTTTCCTCAATAGACTGTAGTATTATAAAAACCATTATGAAAACGCAAAATTTAATTTCGATTTTCAATCATAAATATCTTGATAATCAGACAGGCGATTGGCTTGTAAAATTCATGGGGTTCCTGACTGACCTAAAGGTTTATAATTATCATTGCAGCATGAGCTAAATCCAGGATTTTGTTTCGGAATCTGAGACAAAATTACCCAATCCCTTTAAATTGTATTTGTCCCTACCTGACCACGTTTTCCTTGACTCATCCAATAAAAAATAATTATACATATGTAGTTTAGTTTAGTGGTGGTTGTTTAACCTGACTGCTAAGAAAGCATATATGCTTGTTCTGTTAGTCAGCAACCAGAGGACTGACGGCTTTAGGTCCTCTCCGAGGAACCGGGTAATGAGGAATAATGCCTTATCAAAGGGCACTTGGTATCAAACGCGGGTTGCTGGATTACGAGACCACTGCTCTACCAACTGAGCTATCGCGCCTTTGTAGATATAGTTCTATTTAAGAGGGTCAGGGGAGGGGAGAGGAGAGAGGTGCTTTCTCTGTCTCTGTCTCTCTCTCTCTGTCTCTGAGCAGGAGGACAAGTATCTGCCAGTCATAACCTCTCATATTATTGGGTTCTTATGTCAGCACGGGGGTGTTTCATAAAGCTCTGGTAAAGTTACGAATGACTTTACAAATGATTTGAATATGAAGAGCCAAATGGGATGCTCAAAGTTTTTCCTGACATTTTAACAAAGTGTGACTGTATTTCCCATAATCTCACTGAAATTGTAGCCAAAAATACACTTTGCATTAAAATGTTTTGTTAACAATGATGAGGTTAATCTACATCTGCATATTTCAACTTTAGCTTAGGCAATTAAAATGATATGAGAATCACATGTAGCTCTTCATATTCAAGTCATTCGTAAAGTCATGCGTAACATTACGCACAGCTTTATGAAACACCTCCCAGAGCAGAGTGTGAAAGGATATTGGCCTAGGAAATGAGGAAGGGAAAGGAGCAAGGGGACGGGGGGGAGGGGGGGGGGGGTAGTTTGTGGTGGGGGCAGAGGAGGTGGTCACATGTTAATCTCTTACCTTCTGAGCCCCTCCGCGGAAGGAGACCAAAGGTTGCTAATCTCAGCCTCTCATAGTCTTGGTTAACTACTTCGGCTGATGCAGGACCTGACTGGTTCTCCGGCTGGAAGACAACGCAGATATAAATTTTAATGTTACATTGTTTTCTTTAATATAGAGTGGTGAAGTGTGACGTCATCAAAAATCTATTTTTAGAATTTCTCAATTTTTTCTTCATATTCCGAAAGAACACCAAAAATAATGTCCAAATGTAGAAAACCAATTGAATATGTTAAATATTGGCTGAGTTATGACCATCTGAATGAATATATGTCCTATGGGAACTCAGTGTTATATGCTCTGGCTCCTAATGGTTAGGAGCCAGAGCATATAACACTGAGTTCCTATGGGGAGTATATTTATTCAGATGGTCATATCTCAGCCAATATTTAACATATTCAATTGGTTTTCTACATTTGGACATTATTTTTGGTGTTCTTTCGGAATATGAAGAAAAAATTGAGAAATTCTAAAAATAGATTTTTATGACGTCACAGCTTCGGTACTCTATAAATAATAATAATATGTTTTGTTTACCCAGGGTAGGTTCATTAGTGATAAATACTGTTCCCTCTGAGGGTCCTCCAAGCATATTATCACTATGGCTTTAGACGATCCAAAAGGAAAAGGGGCTCAGGAATTTCTTCCTACCAGGTACCCATTTACCTCACCTGGGTGGAGTGTGGAAAATGTAGATTATTGTCTTGCCAAAAGACATTAGTGCCGCAGTGGGACTCTATTTAGATGACAATAGAAATTCAATCTAACTCAATGTAAATGAATCATATCTTGACATCACACAACATTTAATTAAACATGGTGATACAAATAATTAATTGACAAATAATAAATAGTTATCGTACTGAAAATGCTCAGTGAATATGTCAATTTCTAAAATAAACAAGCATAACAGCAAATCTCAAATAGATTAACCTGTTATTTGCTACCTTTCAACTACACATACAAAAAAAAAAAATATATCGAACAATATGCTTTGATATAAATCACTGAAAAGAAAGTGATGATTTTCAATCAGGCTGTTGTTTCTTTTTGGTTTAATTCAAAGGCCAAAACCATAGGAAGTTGCTAAACGCAAGAATAACTACCTTAAAATCAACATCCCTCTACAAATTATAAGGCAGTCTACATTTGTATGTGCACCTAGTTCAGGGATATATTTTTGAGTTAGATAAAAGTATCTGGACTTGATTATGTCTCATATTGACATGGATAAACCATGAGAAGAAGTTGTAAAGAAGTGCCAGGAAGAGGCGACTTTGACAAATTTGCATTTTCCCAAAGCCCTATCCCTGAATGGAACAGCCTACCATCATCAGTAGTACAAGGGGCGTTTCACAAAACTTGTCATCAGTGACAGATGACAGTTTGTGTTATAAGCTACTGAAATCCTTGCTTCTGATTGGTTATCAGCAGATTTGTCACTGGTTTGATCATTTGTCATTGAAAAAAGGCTTTGTGAAATGCCCCCCAGGACAATCCCTAGCACTTCCAGAGACTACTCCTGGGGAGTGTTTCACAAAGACTAAGATCAACTTTAAGTTGGACTTAACTATGGCAGACCTTTCATGCCACTATTTCTCTCATCATTTACTGGCATTGGTTTCTCAAGGGACGTACCAATTGTGGTGACAAATCTACAGAATTTACATTTTTTAATAGTTCGTTATTGAAGTAAAAAATATTTTCTTAAGATCATAAGTGAGAGACCAATAATGAGAGTAACGGCCTGCCATAGTCAAGTCCATCTTAAAGTCGATCTCAGTCTTTGTGAAACACACCCCTGGGGCATATTTCAGTAAATTGCTTTAATCTTCCTCACACGTCTTGCAATGTTTATTTCATCATAGGAATAGGCTGCAAAGCCTTTGGAAGATTTTGGAAGATAAAGAAGAAATGAACAAGTTACCTGACTACTAAGGTCTTCTGTTGTATAGGCATCCAGGAGGTCGTATATCTCACCGTCCTGACCTAGCACTGTGGCAAAGACATAGTCAGCCGCCCCCATTGGTGAGTTTCGTCCAGCCTTGAAGGAGAAGCGGCCGGTCTCAGAGCTCTCAAACTCGCGGATGCACTTCAGCGGCCACTGGGCCACCAGGGACCTGGTACGCTGTTATCGAAGAATGTGAGAGTGAGAGTAATAGTTAAGTTGAAAAATGTGGATAATATTACATTTGAAGAGTGAGAGAGAGGGAGAGGGAGAGAGAGGGAGAGGGAGAGGGAGAGGGAGAAAGAGAGAGACAGAGAGAGGGAGAGACAGAGACGGAGACAGCAAGACAGAGAGACAGAGAGAGAGAGAGAGGGAGAGAGTGAGAGAGAGAGAGAGAGTGAGAGAGAGACAGCGAGAGAGAGACAGCGAGAGAGAGAGACAGAGAGAAAGACAGAGAGCGAGAGAGAGAGAGACAGAGAGACAGAGAGAGCGAGAGAGAGAAAGAGAGATAGAGAGAGCGAGAGAGAGGGCGAGAGGGAGGGAGAGGGAGAGAGACCTACCTTGAGAGCGAGTGTGAGACCCCACTTTGAAAGATGAAGCAGGCATTGAGAAGCCCTCGCGCCAATCCGTCTCATCGACTCAGAATCATCGGGAGATACTTCAAAACATCTTCCTGTGAAGGGGAGGGGGAGGGTATGATAGGGGAGGGTATTATTAAAGATAAAGTTGAGTTCTGGTCATGTGATTGCATTGTGAAAGAAGCGGTGTGGAATCGATCAAAAAAGGTTGATCATCTAGCATATAAGTATTGGTGTGTACTGCAAGGTTCTGGCATCATCAAAATGATAAGAAATTTGGCCCAGTGTTGGTAAAGTTACAAGCACTAGTACACAGAAATATGTATATGGGACTTCACGAACATGTGGCATAAAAATCCGTCCTGATTTTTATGCTGTCACATGTCGTATTTAGAATATTAAGGCATTTGAAGAGCTATGCTTTTCAGGGAACATGTTTTATCTGATGTTCTCCCACACTTGCATAATAAGAATGATAAAGCTCACATTATTATTTTTCCCCTCTTCCCAGAACTCAACGTTCTCTTTCAGAAGGGCATCGGTGAATTATACATGTAGAAGACTGCAATGTGAGGTGAGTTTCATTTAGCATTACAAATGTGGAAAGTGGCCATTATCAAAATCTACCCAAATTGTTGCATTTTTAAAGATGAAGCAGCCACACCCTGAAGCCCTGGCACTACTCCATCTCACTGATTCTGAATCATAAGGAGGGGCTAAGGTTAATTAAACCCAATGTCTTGTCAAATCTTCTTTCAAATTTTATAATGGTACATGTATATTTTGAACATTTTGTTGTTACCTCTAAACAGTACATGTATCTCTCATTAAAAGCATGTATCAACTCCATGAAGATAACATGCCTACAAAGACTGCCTTTTTTTTCCTGTTCAACTAGCAGTCTTCATGTGGCTTTAATGGCATTGGTTTATGTATATCTTGTTCATTTTGTTTAAACCTTTCAAAAACCAAAACAATCTTTGCCTTTTGCAAGATAGCAGCATCTTTTCTATTGCTAAACCGGGCATTGTGACGACCTGGGCCCAGTCTTACAAAGATTGATATCAGTCGCAGCTACACCATGTATGTACATAAGAGATAGGAGACTGCAAACTTGCTATTGATTGGAGGACTTACGATTGATTTGGATCAATCAAAACTCTTTGTAAGACAGGGCCCTGGCATCAAACGATCTATCATTGGGTTGTTAGACATTGTTTGTACATACCTGGGAAATCTGTTCTTAGATTGGCCTGGATCTGCAGGTAGAAGACCCAGAGATCCATGACGGTCTGGCTGTCCGCTAAGAACCGCCATGTTGACCTTGAAGTCCTGACCTCAAAGATGTGCTGCTTGCCGGTCGGGTCGTACTTCTTATCTACCCTGTACCACGGCGACAATCTGAGGCTTGCTGGGAGGGTGTAAGGTGAGGGGGAGAGAGAAGGGGGGAGAGAGGGAGGGAGGGAGGGAGGGAGAGAGAGAGGGAGGGAGGGAGGGAGAGAGACAGAGAGAGAGAGAGAGAGAGAGAGAGAGAGAGAGAGAGAAAAAATACAGAGAGACAGAGACAGAGAGAGAGAGAAAGACAGAGAGACAGAGAGAGAGAGAGAGAAAGAGAAAGACAGAGAAAGACAGAGAGAGAGAGAGAGAGAGAGAGACAGAAACAGAGAGAGAGAAATTGAAAGAGAGAGAGAGAGACAGAAAGAAATTGAAAGAGATTGATTGACTATGTTTGTATTAAAGGCATTGTTTAACAATGTTAAATCTGAGATGCATGGCCCTAGGTGTTATCAGTGTCTGTGATATGGTGTAATATTGAAGCCCTAAAAAAAAATTGCGCTTCAAAATGATCATGAAGTGCCTCAAAAAGTAAAAAATCTTTGAGTGACCGATTTTACCATACCGGTACTCATTTCCCCCCAATAGACTGTAGTGTTGTAAAAATCGTTAGGAAAACGGTTTTTGAAATTTCAGACAGGCGATCAGCTTTTAAAAGTCATGGGATTCCTGACTGACCTAAAGGTTTATAACTATCATTGCAGCATGAGCTAAATCCAGGGTTTTGTTTCAGAATCTGAGGCAAAGGTACCCAATCCCTTTAAAGCAATGGTAGTTTATCCAAGTTCTCTTTCAGTAGCCATGTTGGGATTGGATCAAGTAAACAGGAAAATAAATAATAAACAAAACCAGCTTTAGACCTCCAAAGTATTACTTAGACAAATGAGAATGAGAGTGATTTTCATTTTCTAAGGATGGGATTAAGTCAACAGAATAGTAATAATAAACAAAACCAGCATTACACCTCCAATGTATTACTTTATAGACAAATGAAAATGTGAGCGATTTTCAGTAGCCATGTTGGGATGGGATCAAGTAAACAGGATAATAATAATAAACAAAACCAGTATTAGACCTATTACTTTATAGACAAAAGTCAAATGAAAGTGAGATTGATTTTCTTTCGCTAAGGATGTGTAATCTTCAAATTCAAAGATAAGCTCCAATGTCAAGAAAAATTATTTCTTTTCTCGATAATCTTTATCACATGACATGGCACAAAAATACCACATGATCTCAAGTCGATCATTTCAATTTCATATCAAAATAGAAAAAGAGGTGGCTCAATCTACACATATCATAGACTGGTCATTTATAGACTGACTGACAAAATAACCCATTACAAGATATATTTGTGGAGCTGTTTTCATGGCAATTATACAATTATGTTAAAAAATTTCTTTGGTAAAGAAATTTCTTATCGTGCACATTTTTTATCTTAATTTTATTTTATTACGACTGGCATGGCATGTGTCAATACACATATATTTTTTCAAATCTTAACCGCCTTATTATCATTTCTTTTATTGAAGTTCATTAGTGTAAACTAACATATTTATTACATCTGAATCAAATACACTTTTCTTATTCACCTTAACTTGTAAGTACAGAAACAAGTTTGTACATGTACATGTATAATGATTGTGTACCTTTTTTTCCAATATCCACCTTCATTTCTCTTAACCTACCTGTATATAAATGGAATTAATTTTATTGTGCATATCAATAAATCATACAAGATCTTAATACTGGTGTATTATATCGAACCAATAAATGCATTGTAGCTGCTATATACATGTACAAATATTTGCGCATACATAATACATGAACATGTTTAAACATGTCTTGTGTCACAAATGATATTCAAAGACACCATACCTCGAGGTTTATTAAAGTTGCACGCCACATCCTTGTCAAAGACGGCCAACACAGCAACATCCTGGTTATCTTCTGTTTCTTTCAGTAAAACAACGTAGCGTTTCTTCCAACTCGACGACGAGCGATTCAGGAAATTCTTCTTCTTGGCATTTGACTCTGGTTCAGTAGATTTCTTCAGCCAGCCCTGCAATGAAATCAGAATGGTAGAACAGATACTTTTAAATTATGACATTTTGTAAAGTCTCAATACAAATTGCTATTGTTGGATCTGGGGGGTGTTCCACAAAGTTCCCAAGTAGATCTTAACCGTTAGTTGGACTTGAATATTATGGAGAGCCATTTGTAGCCTTAAAATAAAATATATTCAAAAGCAAAAATTCAAGTATTTTAGACTCTTCATAAATTCCACATCAAGAACATGAAATCTCCTTGATAGAGACAATAAGAACGATTTGAATCAAAATGTTATGCCTTTAAAAATAACTTTTACAAAATATTTTCAAAGATGCCAACGGCTTTCCATAATTATTAAGTCCAACTTTGAGATAAGTTCAACTTGGGATCTTTGTGAAACACCCCCAGATACATCATGGCAATGAGTAAAGTCTCAATATAAATAGCTATTGTTGGATCTGTTCTTACGTTGCTATCCCTATTGGGCTGTTGATTGTAAATTATGTTTGAGAATTTTAGTTGCTGGTTTTTCATCCATGAAACAGAAGTAGTATGCAATATGAACTTTGTTCCCAAAAGAAGACATGTTATTGTTATGCCTAATAGAATCAAAACTTACATGTAGTTAAACTCAAGTCAATTCTTTTGACAAATTAGGTGGCAAAGAGGTGGAAGAGAGAAAAGGAGAGAGAGAGAGAGAGAGAGAAGGATAAATATAAAGATAGATAGATTGATGGATAGATAGATAGATGGATAGATAGATAGGTAGATAGATAGATGTAGGTAGAGAGAGAGAAAGAGAAAGAGAAAGAGAAAGAGAAAGAGAAAGAGAAAGAGAAAGAGAAAGAGAAAGAGAGAGAGAGAGAGAGAGAGAGAGAGAGAGAGAGATTCATACAGTATACATCATGTATACTGTAGTAACTGCTTCTAGGTGAACAGTACAGTATATTAAAGATAACAACTTGAAAAGCTTGAGAAGCCCCATGCATGCTGAGCTCCTATTGACATTGCTACAGTTCAACAAATACTCTCAAAGAAAGAGGAATACCCTGATGAAAGGCATTTCTATTCCAATGCTCATGGTGACAAGAAATGTTGGAGAGACACAAAAGTGACAATACCAAGGATTTATTCTTGAAGAAAATATTTCACCAAACAATAGCAGTCACACATGTATAAAGGACTTGTTCTACGCACGCAAAATTAAAACTTGCTAGCATTTCTATTCCAATGCTCACGGTGACAAGAAATGTCGGAGAGACACAGAAATGACAATAGCAAGGATTTATTCTTGAAGAACATATTTCACCAAATAATAGCTGATACAAGTCACACATGTATGAAGGACTTGCTCTACGCATGCAAAATGAAAAACTTGCCATTTAAGAATGACTCTAAACTCTTCATTTGCTGTACAATTTCAAACTTCCATCAAGTTATCAGACTGAAGTTATGAGATCAGGCAAACAAAAACAGATTAGGCTAATAGAACTCCATGACCAACCTGTTTTATATGCCTGTTGTACACTGTGGACCAATTACAAATATATTTTACTATGTACAATGCAATCCCATGTACAGGTGTACTTTATTTATTTTGTTGGAAATGAAAATAAATGAAATGAAATGAAATGAAATGAAATAACATATATATGGGAAAAATGTTATGAAAAGTGAGAATCTTTCTTCTAAGTTCGCAACTTCACCCAAACCTTTACAACTGCAGTTAAATTTGTACAAAAAAGTTATTTACCTTAAAGTAAAAGCAATTTGGATAGCATTTGCATGGTTCAAATCCACCCTTCTGACGTGGCGCCATAATCCTTCACAAACATATAAATAAACTTTAATGTCACAACTTTGATTTTTGATAAAATCCACTTATAATCCTCTGCCCAAGCTCGTGGGAGGCTGGTATTGGTTCGATGGGAGCTCTTTGCGGACTGCGGGTTTAACATGTGTTTCACACTTACACCACACCTGATAGTAATTAGCCTAAAGATAGCAGTTTTGTTCACTTGTTTACTGCCTTTTATTCATTTTGGTACAAATTCTCAATCAAGGTTAATTCCGAAATTATCTGGAAGTTGACCATCGGAACTGTGTTAGTGGGACGTCAGTTTGTGATCGCTTTCCTGCCTTTCCTGTTTATTGGAAGCACCGACAGTACAGGTCATGTAGTGAGTCAGTGGACCCATTCACACACAGTGAAAAAAAAAAAGTTTTTTTACCCCTGTTCACACATAGGATAAATAAAATGTTTTTCTATTTCTTCTTCTTCTTCCTCATTAAGTGCTACTTCATACAACAAAGATTACGCACTGCAGTGATTTGAGGTGTGCAGGTGGACCACTACACCGGGGTTTCTCCCCTTATACGAATAGTGATGTGAGTTCTTAACGTGCAAAGGTGGTAACTCTCCTCTACACAGGGCCTCCATTTAACGTCCTATCCGAGGGACGGGTAGCCTCGTTGGTAACAGAGTGCTCCACTGACTTTTGTTGTCACACACAGCCGATGGCTTTAGATCTTGGGTACATGTATTCACTAAATAATATGCTATCTACAGTAAGTGCAATTTGAATCATGATCAGAATTGCAATTTAACTAATCAGAATTTGTGTTCACACACAAACGAGTGAGATTACAAACGCTCTTTATACGCTCATCTTTTTATTCTCATTATGTGTTCCATATGTGAACTGCCCTTGTGTAGAATCTGTGGATGGATGCATTGTTTCTAATAACCTTGAGTTAATTACCGGTATTCAACAGATTCAGGATGGATATGGACGTGCATACAGTCACACTGCCAAACAAAACTTCTATCTCTACCCCCTTAAATATGAAAGCACAGGGAAACCAATCCTTCATAGCATCAGATCCTGCTCTGTGGAATTCTCTATGCTAATACAATTTTCTCTGAAACTTTTAAATGGAGCCGGAGCCCGGAAGACCTATCTTTTTTTGCAGAAGTGTTATCTTTTCTTTGCATGTTTGTGCTAAACCAATTTTATAATGTAAATCACAAACAAAAATGTAACATTGCCTCAAATGAAGTTGGTTGAATAGTGATAATAAAATATTTAACTTTATAGTTTAAATTGTATCTACCTGTATGCACACAATAAAGAAATTTTTACGTTTGTGCTTTACATTATAATATTGGTTTAACACAAACATAATTAAATTGTCATAATTAAAGTGATATACAATTTCAACATTATTATTATCACTATTAAACAAACTCCAAATTGCCTGATCACTTTAAAGGCACACTTTCCTACTTGTAGCTACTTGCTCCCTCTATATAGAAAACTTCCCAAATAGGTGCCTGTTGGTCCCCCATGATCCTCTTTTTCTTATGTTAAATGAGAGCTGAGTTAATGAGATAGCCACCTGTCACAGTGACCTCGATGGCTCACTGGGTGGTCTAATCCCTTCTTGCTGAAGTAGTAAAGCCTCCCTTTAATAGTCCATTAGAGGCAATGTTAAACTTTTTGTTCAGTTTACGTATTGTCCGTCCCAGGTCGTTCTCATTGGTTTAAAGAAAGTTATGGGTGTTAAATTTCATTGCAGAGAGGGTATTGTTTCATTTTGTTTTTTGTTTTAAGTTCATGGAAAATTCATGTAAACATTAGAGTTACAGAAAAAGTACTGGGTACATGAAAAATGATTGAATCAGTAAACCTAAAACAGAAGAGCTAAGGTGAAGAAGATCATTTAATGAGCATGTACATTGTACATGTATGTACCCATATGATACTCTCCATTGTTATATTTCTGGTGGTTAGTGGGTACAGTATAATTGTTTAATACCATCAAAATGTAATTACAACCTCCAACCTCCTCTCAAGATCCAATCACTAAATAATTAATTAATCATTGTACATTTCTGACCTACATTTAATTTCTGCATTAATCCACCCTTTTCCATTCAAATATCATAATATAATGTTGCTAGTTAAAAAATAGTGCAAGGAAATGAAGGAAAACAAATTAACATCTTACCCAAACCAATCAGAGGCAGACACTGACATGGGCAATCTTTTCAGATCAACCAAGTCAGAAAGGTACAAGAAATTCAAGTAATTAAAACACGACACAAATTACACACTTCATTAATTACCAAAAAGAGCAGAACTAAATGTACATGTAAGGTACATGAAGCTGAAGTTCTAGTCTGCTAAGACCATCTTCTTCCTCCAAAAAGCGTATATATCCGGTATCATTGGAAGACCAATTTCAAAATAAATATTTCACAAAAAGTTGACAAGTTTTATCTTTAAGTTTGAAGGTATATCATGACAAAATTTAAACTGTACATAAATTTAAAGAGCAAGGAATGTATGCAAGTCCAGACATGTAATGCATCCCTCGAATACATGCAATGAAACAACTGCAATGTGCCAACTTCTGAGATGACTGTGCGACATGAATATCACTAAGCTTTGCCCACAAATTGAAGACATTTTTGCACATTTCTTGTCATGATTTAATAAGTAACTTCTTGTTTAAAATCAATGTGACATTCAAATAAGTAAGCTACAAAATCAAGATTAGCATACAGATCATATGGCATAGCTTTTGGAACCTTTAATTTTGTAAAACAATGTTGTGGAGAGTACCACTATCAAACGTTTCAAATCTGGGCTTGAGAAATGGTGGAAAGATGCCCTGGCAGATAAAGACTGAATAATCCTGGATCAAGTGAGTTACAAGTGAGTTTATACAGGCATACATGTAGAAACTGAGTTAAAATTATGCATTTCTGACATTTTTCAGTCTGAATTTTTTCCACAAGTTTTGCCTAATTAGCTTATACTGTAGTGTCACTGAATTTATACTAATCGCTACTGTTGTAAAATCTGCATCAAATTGACAGAGGGCCATATTAAAGTTTGTCATGTTAATTCCATGTCAATTCAATATCATCCGGAACACGTTGAAGGTATGAGCAAAGCTCTGTCACTCCGGTAAAAGATTGCCACATTTTTATCAAATTCATGACCAATTTCAAAGTGTGTTGGATGAGTAGAAAGACGACTCCGCCAGCAAATGCTGCAGGGTGTTTGCAAGGTTCGATGTTTACGGGAATGTGCGAGTAGTATTCACATTTGTGTTTTTGTTTACATGGCTCTCCACACAGGCAAATGCATGCAAAGTTGAAAGTATAAAGCTTGGTGATATCAAATTATCGATATCATAAATCACCAAGCCTGTAAGAATAGACCTGACCCCTCATGAAAACGTTTTTCTCTTTTTTTCAACTAAACTGATTGCAACCAACAATTGCATTTTCCAATGGCATTACAACAAAATTAGAGTCAAGTTAGATCTAACGCAACTTGGAATTAGAGATAGAATAATTAGAATTTTAAATCTCTGAGACTAGAGTCTGACTCTAGATGAGCAAATGATGAGTTAATAATATTTAAATCTAGACCTAGTTTACAGTAGATCAGACTTGATTATCATGAGTAGATCCTACTCCTAGTATGAATATAAATTATTTAATTAATTTCACTCACATTTCAAAACAGACAGGCAAATGTACTTAAATACATGCATATGTCCAACAGTCCAAGTTTATAAATAGTTCAAACCAAAAATACTTTATAAACACAACACACTTTGACTCATTTCCGGGCTTTGTTTTCTTCTGCATGACCACGTCCACGCAGCGCAGCTCAGGTCCCATATCACACCGTACACGCAGCCCTACACTCTCCGCGAAGTCTCATGCAGCGACAGCCTCAAATAACTAGCAGCTCCTCCCACGCAAACGGACATACATTTAACGCTCAATTTCACAGATCCTCTTCATATCTAGCATACATAATGAAAATTATCCGTAGAAAATATATCATATTTACATAAAACAGATAGCTTAAAACATATTGATAGGTTATTCAGAATATAAAATCAAGTGAAAATCACCTTGTAAATCACCTCCGGCTGGGCTGACGCCATTGTTTATGTTTAGCATGCTGAGCATAGCCAATTTGATTTGCTTGATTAATATTATGGTATCTTTGAAGTAGACACGTATATGCGTTTATTCTACCTTACTTATCGAGCCCTCTTTCAGAAAGAATATTAATAGAGTTGCTTTCAAACACAACTCAACAAAATGTAACATATATCTTGATTTTCATACAATCAGGATATTTGGGACTTGCATTTAAGTTTTAGAGTTCATGAAAATTATATCAACACCATATGATTATGGATGAGGAGAAACAATGAGAGAGTAAGGACCCCGCCCCCCCCCCCCCTCCCCCGAAAAGAAGGAACTAATTAAGGGAGAGGGTATACTATACAGAAATTTGGAAAATCAAAATATTCATGAGATGGCAATAATTATGGAGGCAGACGTACATCTTCTGGAATTTCAAACATATACATTTTCCTCACTTCCAAATGAGAATTTAAATTCTCAATCTTTTCCCAGAATTGGAGGAGTGCCCCGTCCCAACAGGTTTTGAGATAAATTAAAATATTGAAATTATCCCAAAATGGAGGGGGTCAGTGGTAAGGCCGGTGGGAGAAGAGCCCCCTCCCCCCCCCCCCCCCCAATAAAAACTTGTGGAAATTTTAAATCTAAGAATGATGGAGACAAAAGCTAATATGGCTACACTTATGGATCCTCCACCTGCCTCCCCCAATCCACCACTCATCACATGATTATCATCGTCGCCATGAGACATCTTCAACAATATCGACATCCCCATAAACACAATCAATCACTATCAATCAACACCTTCATGATCACCAATCATGATGATGATCATCATCAGCCATCATCATCATCATCATCATCCATCATCATCATCCATCATCATCATCATTCATAATCATCGCCAACACCGTACCATCATCATCATCATCATCATCCATCATCATCATCATCATCATCATCCATCATCATCATCGACGACGTTGTCGTCATCATCATCATCATCACCATCATCCATCATCCTCATCAGTATCATCATCTTTATCCATCATCACCATCATCATCCATCATCCTCATCAGTATCATCATCATCATCATCATCATCATCATCATCATCATCATCATCATCATCATCATCATCATCATCATGCATCATCATCATCATCATCATCATCATCATCATCATCCATCTTAATCATCATCATCATCATCATCATCATCATCATCATCATAACCACCACCATCATCATCATAACCACCACCATCATCATCATCACTCATCATCATCATAACCATCATCAACATAACCACGTACATCATCATCATTATAAATACCTGTACAATACCTTTCTTTTAACCTTATGTTTACCAGTGATATGGAGCTATAAACAAGTTCTTCATATTTAATACGAACTGAACCATCATTTAAAGTGTCATCATACTTATAATTTATTAATAAACATCATCCCACAGTAAATTGCACACAATTTTCACACTGTTATTACACACATTGCTAATGTTATATATACATAACATTGCAGAGTAATAAAAGATGAGGTTAATGAAAAAACACATATCAATCTTGGCATCCACTATCAGAGCTAGCTGTAACAGATGATTTTGTCAAAATCACAGTATTAAAATATCTACATTTACAACATAACAAAAAGTGAAGTATGAAACATCTTTATGTTTGACAATACAAGATGACCCTAAAGACTTGTTCAGATATAGCATGTTAAACCCCCGTACAATAGCTGCTGGAGGGGGTGTGATGGGGGGGGGGGGGGTGTCTCTTACTTGAGTCATAACTTTCCAGCTTACAAAACTCAACATGTGATCAAGAAAAAAATGGGCATTCTTTCTAATGAACCACCACTTGTGGAGTGGTGATGCATTTTTAGGGCAATTTGGTTATGAAATTATACGAGGCAAGAAACAAAAAACTTATTGGAGACACCACCCCCGCTGCACAAAAGAAGACAGGTGTCCATAGAATAGTATTCAACTTCTTAAGGGGTGCAGCCCCTACCTTGAATAGATTTGTGAAGCATCTCTGATTCCTGTGGAGCTCTAACTCTCTGTGAACAATATGCACATCACTAAGAAAGGCTCTCCCATTTATATGGTTGTTCATATAAAATGGTTGTTCATAATTTACTAAGTTTCGGAGAAGAAAACTGACAGTTTATAAATGATAGCACACATCATGATATGTAGGTGAGAAAAACTTCATAAAAATGACTAGCAAAACAATGCTAGATACAATGATTGTTGTACTAAATATATCAATCTGAAAAGTGATGGTACAGAACAATACAGAAATAAAGAAAAATTAAGCCCGAGTCATTACGGTTTTTGTGCTAAACGGTTAACTGTTAAAAGTATACGGGCGGTTTCGTTTAACCGTTTAATAATAATCTGAAAAAGTGAAAATACAGTATTTGTAATAGTGCTGTAGCTCGGAACCCTGCTGGTCTTCAGACTGTCGGGCTGAGCATTCCCAGCCCCGGACTATGGCACAAATTGGGTCATCCTGATAAACAGAGACCAGTAATAAACAACATAAAACATGTCTTATTATTCCTCATCTGAATTTGATATCATGATTAACCTTGCAAAGTTACTCTGTGAAGATAGCTGATCTGTGACGTGTTTATATATGCCTTTGCAATGCAATGTTTGCACATGTCAGGGAGATCAGAGAGCTCCCTGCATGTATCATTGCCATATGAAATTATGTGGAAGTGTGTATCACACACACCCAAGACACACCCTGCAATGAGCTGATCCAAGTTAGTGACCAATCTGGAAGGTTCTCTAGCTATGTGGGTGGAGTTTGATACCAGCATAAATTACAGGTTGGTGACCGCGCGTGCTTTCACCGTACCCAGTTCAGTGGGAGGTCAAGAAGCCACGCCCACATGTGTGCATGTGACAAGCATGAGCTCTCCATCTGTGTGTATGTACAGTGTATTTGGGCGCCGGAGGTTTGTGTGTACATGTGTGTGTGACTGAGAGAGCATGCATGGGCTAGCATGTCCCTGCATGGACGAGGCAGGGACACGAGTAAAGAAGTAAAACAAGTGAGACTAGATAGAAAGGGTGGCTGTGTTAATCGGCTGAATTGAAGAATGATCAAAAACTTAAATTACTCACAATATCCAAGACTTTGTTTATTGATATTTATAAAACTTCAATTATTATTGTTATCAATATTTTTGTATTTTATTTATATATGAACATTATTTTAGGGGGCGAGTCGGCAAGGGATGGATATTAATATTGAGAGAGAGAGAGAGAGAGAGAGACTCGGGGGAGAAGGGATGTGAGAGGAACTGACCATCGAATGTGTAAACATTTAGAAAGTTGTGAGCTGAGAGTGCAGTAATAAGAAAAGGTACATGAGCGATGAACACATTGCAGAGAGAAGGGAATAAAGAGGGTGAGAAAAGAGAGAAGGGGGCTGGTTGTTTTATTGTTTACAAATTCATTCATGGGGATTACTGCTGCCAGAAAGCTGGCGCGCAGCGGCCAGGGTGTAACATTACAACTGCGGTTTCTTTGATTATCTTTATCATCGGCTATTAGCACATTCCAATATGTATGCAAATAACGGTTAACCGGAGCGAGAAATGCTAAACGGTTTTGATGAATGCGGTCGGATAACCGTCGGTTAAACGGATTGACTCAGGCCTAAGAAAAATGCATGATAAATCTAATGGAAAAAAACATGATAAATGCAAAAATAGGCTGAGAAGAAAACAGGGCAGTATCAAACAAAATGAAAGGAGATTGGTGAAACAAGAAAATCTTGAGACTATTATCACATCAGAACATTCATTCATTATCATTTTGCCTAAAGTTACTGTTGTTTGAAAATTTAGGAATACCATTGCTTAAATTGAAAGTACCAGTATTGTTCTTCTGAACTCGAACCTCCAAAAGAGTGATAAATAGAATACTTATTCACAAAGCTATATCTGTTAATTATCTTACATATCTGATAATTTCATAAAATATGTAAAACCCTCTTTTTTTACTCACATTGTCATCTGAATAACTGTTCTACCCTCAAGACTACTGGGACCTGTTTCACAAAGCATTCTTTCAATGACAAATGACAAAAATCAGTGACAGATCTGCTGATAACCAATCAGACGCAAAGATTTCAGTAGCTTGTAACAAAAGCGGTCATTTGTCACTGATGACAAGATTTGTGAAATGGGGCCCAGGTGTCAGCCTAAATGATTGCAAATACATGGAAATCAGTGACTAAAAAAACAGTTCTTTCAAGGCACTCCCTTCCTAGGTACATGTAAGTACTCCAGAATAGTAAATATATAATATATTTGAAGGAATACAATTGAACATATAGAATACAATACATTATTGCAATAGGAATGCAGACAAAAAACAATATAATAACATTTAACGGTGAATATCAATAGTATACATGTACATGGTATCTGTGAATGTTTTGTGCAAGTTTGTAAATATTTTCAATATGAAATAAATATATAAATGTATATGTACATATGTATGGCTATGTTGAGCAAGATTCACCACGTACGTTTGCTTCAGATGAAAAATCAACCCTTTTCTTTCTGATGATCAAATAAAGATGAAATTACATGCACTTAAAGTGACTCTGTGACATTGCCTCAGATTCTGAAACAAAATCCTGGATTTAGCTCATGCTGCAATCATAATTATAAACCTTTAAGTCAGTCAGGAATCCCATGACTTTTAAAAGCTGATTGCCTGTCTGATTATCAAGATATTTATGATAAAAAATTGAATTTTTTTTTTTTTTTTTTCCTAACGGTTTTTATAACACTACAGTCTATTGGGGAAAAAGAGTACCAGTAAGGTAAAACTGGTCACTCAAGGATTTTTTACTTTTTTGAGGCACTTTATGATCATTTTGAAGCACAATATTTGTATGGCTTCAATATTACACCATATCACAGACACTGATAACATGTAGGGCCATGCATCTCAGATTTAACATTGTTAAATGATGCCTTTAAGACACGAGCAGCATGTCATGAATTATCAGGACAT